CCCCCCCACACACACTAAAAGATTGCCTCCCCCGGTCCCCCTCGCTTCCGACACCCTGTAATAATCTTAAACACAGCTATGGCAATTTTTGAACATACCATTACTCAGAAAATACATAGATTGCCACAATCTGGCATTGACAAGTTAATGAAATGTACTGTTGCTTCATCTCGTTCTTGCTGGACGGAACTCTACACCGGATGTTCTGGATATTCCGGATTCACTTGGTAGTTGTCGTCTTCCTAAGCTTGGTCGACACATCATCCGTTGAAACAGACTTTTGAACGCCTCTCTGTACTTTTGGTCCAGACATGCATAAATTATTGGATTACATAGACTGTTTAGCAGTGGTAGTAGGCTAACAATTGTTCGAGATATGTGGATCGAATACTGACAGCTTAACGACGTGCTATCCCAATCAATGCTGCTTGGATCGTAAAATTCCAACAAATTAAAAATCACGAAAAGAAACCAGCATAGTATGAACATCCCCAAGACAACAAATAACATTCGGATAACCTTAAGATCTTGACGAAAGACACTTCGTTGGTTCTGATCATTCCATGTTTGACCCAGTTCGCCATTTCGCAGCATAATTTGTCGTTTATGAGCAGCAACAAAGATGAGAGTGTACATTACCAGTATGATTACGGTAGATATAATAAACACGACTGCTAGAAGTGTATAGAATCCTCTCTCTTTGCTGTCATCGCCGGGACAATATTTTAAATTGGTATTCATCAGGACGATTCCATAGCTTCCTGAATATGGAGAGGCAGCGAAGGTAGCGCAGGCAGTCGAAACCAGCCAATTAAATGGTAAAGATTATTTTCAATGATTTAGAGGTTGTCATTTTGGATATATACTGAAGTGGTTTTCGGATCTTAAGATATCTATCGAAACTGATGAACGTTAGGGTAAATATCGAAGCGGCTAACGCGAAGGTATCTATCCACACCATAAAACGACAGAGATGAATGGAGAGGTTACGTCGAGATTCAGAGTCGAGATGGATTAGATTCACCTTCAGTGGTGCTAGAAACATACCAACCACGAGATCAGCGACAGCCAGGAAAGCAATAAAATATTTATTAGGTTGATGAAGACTTTCTTCTCTCCAGGTCGCTACCAAAACCAATGAATTGCCCAGAGTGGTGAGAATAGCAATGAAAATTAACATAATTTCCTCTCCAAGTTCAATTTGTTTCAGAAATTCAATATATTTCGTCCAATCACTTTCGTTCCATGTATCCATGCCTGTCTGGTTGGGAAACATCGCTGCAAAACTTGACCGTGAAGGCTATAAGAATGAATACCACAATATAGTCAAGCAAGTCTTCACAGGATCAATGTAACTATTATGATTACATCAGCAGCAGAAATTTTGACTGTGTAACGTGTCTCATTGATTAGGGCAGCTAGTATTCTGTGGTCATTTTGCTAATAGATGTGCAACGCGGAAGTGGCAAATAACGATTATACAAATAGAAACCGTAACTGGACTGCCTTCCGTGTTTGTTTCAGAAATATTTAGCAGCTGCTCGAAGAAGTGTTGAGTTTTTTTCTTTCTTTTTTTGAAAAGCCGATACATCAGCTTTATATAACTTTGAATCAAACCTGCCACAACACCGTTAGCACTTTGTAATATGTTTGCCTTGTTCTTCTAGAAACCCCGCCCCGGAAAGCAATCATTCACTAAATTTTAGTATTCTAATGTACTAGATTTTCACCACATGCCCTTGCTTACTTCGTAACGTTCTTTCAAGAACCCGGACGTCAAGTTTTTATTACTTTCAAATAAAACGGCCTTTTGCAGCATATATGTGTTGTTGGCAGTATATCAGGTTTGGTCGGCTCATTGGCACCTCGATTTAGATGGCTGTTTCCGCTTATTAGATTTTCCACTTAACCGGGTAATGGTAATAGTGTAGTCTTTTTTAAAAACATATTTGGGTCCGGATGTATGTGCCCGCTGAAACGGAGTGTCCGCTTAAAATTCGTGCCTGTTTATAGGGGATCAACTTTAATACTGTTGTCTATGAATTTTAGAAAATATTGCTTCCGGCCCGATCGAAATATGTGATGCACGGATGAAAATCCCTTGCGTTTTTGCTCTCATTATCTAAATACACTCGAGAATATCTATTCTTTGTTTTGCGAAGCCTTTTGGGACGTATCTTTAAGTAGGTCCCCAAACTCCATAAAAAAGTGCGATTTAGGCGCCGCAGAGTCGTTGTCAATCGATCGACCATTGGCTTGGTAAATATACACTTTCTGTTGACATTCCGCCATTAGATTGCTGATTGCAATGGAAATTAGCAGTTGCGATGCCTTCATTAGAATATGCTAATAAAGCTCAATGTACGCAGGATATAGTTTTGGGCTTTTGGCTTTAGATATTCATTATATATTTGCCGCGTTTAGTCTTGTTCTAGCTATAAAGATCAGCTATGCTGCATAGAACAAGGCTCCTTAAATCGTTCAACTCCTGTAGATATGAACCGCCATGTTTAATACAAAGTAATTAATTATGCAAATCTGCAATTTATGTAATTTTGAGCCTGCAGGTTAAACCGCGCATTGTATTGGATTTCTAGCCATGGCGCATTTTATCGTAAACCAAACTATAAAAAACCCTTTCTAATGGTACGTTTTAAATCGGTTTTACCTTTCCCTTATCCTTCGTATAATGTTTCTCAATTGATGTTAATAACACTCCTCTTCTCCCGGCGACTATCAAACTCCCCAAGTTTTCTTTTCCACTTGCAGGTACGTTCCAAGACACTATTCTAAAAAATGGTATGCGTCTTTAATTCTCCCATACACATGGCAATACAATTAAGCGCCTGATATCTTAAGCCCAGTGCAGACAAGCCAAAAATTTTGCAAAATTGTTGTTCTAACAATGTTGGACGGTGTTGGACAATATAATGACTGATCCAAAATCAACTATAAAATTTCTTATTTAAACGTGTCACGTTAGATCTAAATTAAAAATTAAAAATCCTGACCTCTCGAAGCTTTAGTTAAGATCCTAAATTTTCTGTTCAATTTCACCGGAAGTAGTAACAAATTATGCATTCTGATTGGCTTAGAGTGAAAATGTCAACAAATTAAGTGCATTGGTTGGTCGAGAACAAAATTCCTCCTTGTTCTTGTACCTAGTGCGAATAATTTATTTATATGCTTATGTATAGCATCTACCTATTGTTATTTTAATTTTTTGCAAAAGCTGATTGCTTCAAAAAAGTTGTTCTCATTGTTTACCCAACTTTGCATGCAAGTAACTATTAATTTCCGTTTCGTTCATTTTCAGGAAATTGTGTTATATGTGTTACGTTCAAACCTATTTTAAAGAAAATCAAATTTAATTAATTTTTCGTAATTTTTCGTACAATTACGGAATTATCGAACACGTGTATTTTCCGACTTTCCTAATTAAGGCAATTATACATAGGAGAAAACGTGTTTTAAAAATAAAGGATCAGTATTTTGTGGTAAATTTCGACATGTTTCCAAACTTTGTGGCTAAAATCTCTTGGTAAAACGATATTTTCCGCAACATACCTATAATAAGGATATTACACACAGCTTTGGAAGATGTTTTCAATCGGCGAACCGGATTTTGGTTGTTAATAATATAATTTTGCACTTATTGAGATGTAAGCTTTGTATTTTTAAATATTGCCACGTGGTGTTTTTCATACACATATTATCGCCGACGACAATCAAACTTACGTCAGAACATGTTGATTCCAAAACACTACATATTTTTATTTGATGTAAATGTGTTTCCGAGTCTGGTGATTAACTGTACACAAATATCTCTAACTATTGTTGTTACAAGTAAAGACAACTCTATATTGGAAGTTAGGCCAGGCTAGAAACTGTAACAACTGTCTGTTGTTATGTCATACGAAATGTGCATAGTTCAAATGCAGGCATGCATATCAACTTCATTCATGCGTACAGTACGTCCTTACTAACCACCATCTGGGCAACCATGCCCCCTCCCTCCGCCCTCACAGAGGGGAATCTAACATATCTTTAATTTATTGTTACTCCCCACCCACGTTTCCTGCTAAGTACCTTAGTGAAGTCCCAGGTATCGCGGACTCACAATAAAATAATATTCAAACATATCGATATCGAGATACAGAGCAAACAAGCCATAAAACAACATATAAATTCATGTATACGAGATATAGTATTAATTTGAGTTTTAATTGGTTCCCAGTAAAGAGAGGCGGATAATTGTTCACACACCAAGTTGTGATAGTGTTGAAATCCAAATCCTCAATCCAGTTGCGACAAGAATTTATTAATAGAGATTTGGAATAATAATAACATGGGAGAAGCAATGCGATATATGTGTGTGTGAACACAATAGTCTCTCACATTCATGATCAGTTACATATACTAGCTATTACTTTAGAAAACATGCAAATGTTTGTCCAACGGAATAACAAAATAACTTCCAAGGTAGGCGTAAGTAAATAGTATCACAGTAAAATAAAGTATAGTAATAAAGTAATAAAGTAATAAAGTATCACTTTAGCGTAAATTAATAGTATCACACTCGTGTCCTAATGAGCCAGGCTGTGATACGAATATATTTGAACTCACCTTGTCAAGTGCGATGATTGCCTCCACAAACTTCGTACCAAACATATGCTGGAAGCGCGACTTTTATAAAGAGCTCTGGGCACGAGGTGCATCCACCATTCTGGAATTTGAAGAGGCGAGAACGAAAGATGCAGGAGGGGGGAACCAATTCTGAAGGGGTACGTCCTGAGACCCCGGTGGGAGTTTCTCGTGCCTTCGACACTCACGTGGGTAAATCTGATATCCTAGTTACTCCAAAACACTATTAATAGTGGCGGGCCTTAATGGTTAAGTAAAACAGAATAATGATCTCGAAAGCTATATATTGAGCAATGAAATGTAAGAATTTGACTTTGTCCTTGATACCATGTCCACGCAGTGCCTATAATCTTCACCTTTTGCTTTGCCTCCGACATCGGAAAGCACTTTTGAGTATTTTTGCTTTGAAATATCAACAATTCGATAGGAATGGGAAGATATATGTGCAAAATGCAATGACAAAGCAAACTAAAGAAGCATTATAATATTATAATTGAGTATTCGTGTCTTGTTACCATGACAGCTTGCCCGATGTCTTTCGAACGATCTTGAAACATTTAATTAAAAAAGAGCTTTGTGTATAGTTTTCCCATCCGCGTCATATCAATGCCTTAGTTGAAGCAGGTTTACCTACACTATCAAAGCGTCGTGATATGAATATATTGTTTAGCCAGACGTTGAATGTTGAAACTTATAAATTGCATCAGTAACTATCAAATTTGAATAACAATTACTGAATCTGACGAAAAGACGCACTTTTATAAACACTGAGTAAAGAAATTCGTTTAATTTAAAGTATATAATGTAGTTCAATTAATTCTTGTATATTAAATATTTTTTAGCTATTAATTAAATCTCATTAGTATAAATTTTGCATATCGAATGAGCTTTTGCGCGTTCTGATTGGCTAGTTGAAACAATCTTTTTAAAACAATTTTGTTCTGTATCTGTAAACCTAATATCTCAATTTGTACGATAATATTTCTTTTGATATGTCGTGTTTCATTGTCCGGTATGGTGTCCTGACGCTCTATTGTACTATTGTGTTTTTTTAAATTTGTGAAGTGAAAAGTGTAGTAAAACTTTTATATTTCGAACGATATAGTTTGGCATTTCATTTTACTAAATTTCTTAGCCATTTCCTGACCAAATTAATGCTAAACAGAAACTATTTTTTAACTCTAAGTCTCGTGAAAAAGTTATTCCATGATTGTGCTTTATATATTCTAAGCAGAAATCGAGAAAAACGACTTTGTAATAAAGCAATAAAGTCACACGAGAAGCCATTCTGAAAGCGTGGGTGAACAAGAAATACTGCAACACTAAAACAGTAACGGTAAACCGGTCGAAAACAGTTTTATTTCTGAATTTTAATTAAACTAATAGTTGGGAAACTTGAATATTTTGTTTTAGTAATTAAAAATTTTTTCTAAAACAATTATTCGCCTGAGGCTCAGTGATTACGGTGAATATTCACATCGACTTCGTCTCGGTGAATATTCACCGGTAATCACTTCGCCTTCGGCGAATAATTGTTAAATATTTGTGAACATTAAAGTAATTAAGCTTTTGGTTTATCAATTTATCAATAAAAAATGAAAGAAGATAGGAATAACTTTAATGCGTAGCTACTCTAAGTGGCTTTCTACATAGATGCAATTTCAATAATTACAGGTAGGAATGCCTTATTCCAAAACAAAATTGGAATAATTGTTCACTATATTATCTTTCATTTCAATATAATTTCACCTCCTGCACGGTGATTGCTTCTTCATAGACATTTAGGCGACTGGCATTTATTTAATTTGAATCACACTGCTCCTATGGAATTTAGTCCATCCGTGGGTTGACCATTGCGAGCAAAGTTCAGAAAAATGATTAAACCCCGATCAAAAGAGCATGAGAGTGAACATCAGTTGGCAACCATGCGACCTTAATAATTAGCTGATGTTAAATAATGCATTCCCAACAGTACGTATCATTTACGCTCATCAATGCTCGTTACAATTTGCATAAAATTCATAATTGTTATGTATCAAAGTACCAGGGACCGTCGCGAAGAGGTTCAAGCAGGATGGAGGGGGGTGGGGGATTGGTAACAAAAAGGCGTACGTAGTGTCTGGCAGTGACGTTCTCGATCATGTTCGTTAGAGCAGGTTACCTAAAAAAATGGCGACAATCGTTAAAATTTCCGAAATTTTAGGAGAGAGTGAATTTTAGGGAGCGAGTGAATTTAGTTTCACCACAAATTTAGTTTTTGTGACTAGCCCGTCGCGGGCTAGCCATTTCGTACACACTGAAAGTGTAAAGGCGGATTTCCAGCCCTCGCACGAAGCTCCTCGCAGCTCGCTGCGAGTGCTTACATCTAATTAAAATTGACTGTTTAGCATTAATTGTGATTGGATGAAAGTGCTCATGCATGCACTCGCAGCGAGCTGCGAGGAGCTTCGTGCGAGGACTGGAAATCCGCCGTAAGAGTTGTGAAGTTGTGACAGAAGCCATAAGGCGACGATAATGCCGCAGATGAGATAAGGTAACTTAACAAGACACCGCCCTCAGCAAATTAAGCGATTTTTACAAACTTACAGTTGGCGACGGTGGCAGAAATACTCGATATTTTTGTCTTTTCAATCGATATTTCTGTTTATAATTTGTGAATCTGTCATTTATAATTATAACATTGCTATTCATGTCTGCTCTGGACTCTGCCTCTGGTCAAATCGATTTTGATCATGCTTTATATAAAGCTTGATAATCCTGTTTATAATCAAACGTGCTTGCACATATCTTGAATTTCATTGTCCAGTTGCGCGGGTAAATTAAAAAGAAAACCCATTGCTGGCATTATACGACAACCGCCCTGTCAATTGCAGGTATAAAACTACAATAAACACAGAAAACAGGCTGGACTATTTTATATTACTATCGTGGTAGTCACTGACATCGCTCTGACTGCAAATTAATGGGTGCTATTGTTGGGATCTTTTGTTTATAAGGACTGTCTGTCTCCCATCACAATTTCACACACAGTACAATGGAAGCTCAGTCTGTTTAAACACAGTTGAAGAATATTGTAGATTTGAAAATTGAGTGAAAATATATTTAGGTTTATTGGACTTAATTAATAGTTGTCCCTAGCAGGAATCGAACCTGCGGCTCTGCGAACGGCCCTACACCTGGTTCAGACGTAAATATTAGATAATTTAAAATCAGCAGGGACGCAACGACCGGATGGGGGGATGTAAAACCCCAACTGTAAAAACAGGTAAAATTTGCATGATAATGTCTTTATTTTTGTGAAATGATAACCATTTTTTTAAACACAGTCAACTGATTGAGTTCTAATTCGTTTGCGAATTTGCTTTAGGAAACGCCAGAAGTGCAGTCCTGTCGTTCTGATGCTTCAAAAAATGTAACAATTTTCAGGGGGTGGACCTCCGGACACACCTTTTCTTTGGAAACTTACTACGAGACGCTTGAAAATCCATAGAAGATCATAGAATGGAAATTGTATGGACCTTCATTGGAAATAGAATGGATTTTCATTATCCATAATAATTGTATATTTCCATATAGTATCGAAATAGTATGGATATACTTTATGGATTTAGTGGTGCAATTTCAAATTTCGTACTATGGATTTTACATTTTTCCCAGTGACAGAGGACATCAATCAGAAAATAACTTATTATAATTATTACCTTCAAGTAAATTTCAGTTTAAGATTGATGTTCAAATTTCAAGTAAAATCCCACGCCCCCCCCCCCCCTCCAAATATTCGATGCGTCCTTAACGTTCGGTGCAATTACTATACAATACTGAACCTTATAATATGAAAAAAAACACAGCCATTGTACTGCAATCATATCGACCAATTTCAACCTTTCTTTTCAGCATTTAGCAGCAGTGTCAATTGAGCAGCATGTTTACACTTTTAAAACTAAACTTATAAAAGTTGTTTAATTTGTACTGGCATGAAGTACAAAATTTCAGTCCTGTGATCTGCCCTAAATATCTTGTTCATTTTAGACAATTTGCAGATAAAATCACAATTTAAAATCATGGTGATGCATGACATTTACAGTACTTCCAACACGTAATCACATATTTTTGACAATTTGCTGTTTATAATATGGTCACTGTTGATAATATTAGATATTATTATATGCACATGGTCTGGATATGTGGTATTCTGCAATCTGACTGGTTCTCTACTAGCAGGATATTAGCTCATATTCTGCTAGTAGAGAAAAACAAAATGGCCGGCTTAAACTGAATTTGTTCGTTTAAAGTTGTTCGTTTTTTTATAGCCTTTACAGGATTAAAAACATAATGAAAAAATTCCCACAAATTAAAATTTAAAATTTAAAATGGTTAAAAATAGGTATTTTTTAAAAAAATAATCGGCCGAAAGAGCGAAAATAAAAACATAAACAAAACAGAAAAATATTGAAAATATCCAAAATGCAAAGTCTATGAATTCAGACCTTGTGTATATAATAAAACAATTATTCCACTCACGTATTGTTGTCGAATATGAGCGGTAGCCGATTCGGCATTACGCGCCTCATCAATATTAATTAAAGTGTCAGACTCAATAATATTGTTGGCTGCACCCTTGCTATCAACCATTGCTTTTACATCGAGTGAATGTTGTAGCCATTTGTATTAAAACTTATTAAACAGGCTAAATAGTTTAGCAACATGTGCGCAGTGCGTATCTATTTTAAAGATTTCGCTGACAAGTCCTTCCTTTTACGACAACTGATTTTCTGGGGGTGTGCACCACAGTCCCAACAATCAGCATTGCAAGAGAGGCGAGGGTTGGCGAAACTCTCAAAATAGGAGTGCTATTCTGGACTATATATGAGGTAAAAGGGGCGCCGGAAGTAATGCGAAGCGGCGTGGGTAGCCATTTCAAAAGGGCACTTCATTTTTCTGGGCAGCAATATTTGTTGAAGCTTTACTGCATGGATTCTCGATTACTTGTGGCTATTACGGGTCGGCGAACTTCGACATTAATTTTG